AAAAAAAAAAAAAAAAAACTATACTGCTAACAAGGCCTTATCCTAAGTAAAACATACTTTATAAAAAGCCTATAAAGCATTCTTTGTACATAGTATGGCTTTAATTAATATTTGAATAAATTTAAACTATTACAAGGACCAGAAGTCTTTAGAAAACACAATACTCCCACCCTTTCAGACAAAAATTGTTTCAATAACCTAGCAAAAAAATGTGCCTATTGATTATTAAAATTTCAACATAACATTGGTTTCCTAACCATATAGCATAGTAGCACCTTAAGTAGGGTTTAAGTTCTAAATATCTAGGGCCAAAATAAAAATAAAAATCTCTTAAGAAGGCCTCAGATTAGAACCAGATATGCTGTCTTACAGGGAGCAAAACACAGCTATTATTATTGGCATAAACTTAAGCAGGAGGGAAATAAGAATGTACAAAATAGTCCTTTCCCTTAATAAAGTCCAGTGGGAGACTTCAAATACTTAGATATGTGCATATTTAAAAATAATGTGATAAGATTCTAAAAATACATATATAACATTAATTTGATCTAAAGAAGAAAATTTTTTGTATTTCCAAAAAGGTGCATAAAGCAGACTTCAATGACAATCAACAAGCTAAATATATAACTATCATAATAATTCACTGCACATAGATAATTAAAACCACATTTGTAAAAATCGAAGATTGTGCCAGGTTTGTAAATTATCGAATTATGATCGATTAATCTTAGTGTTACAGCAAGTAAAAAATAATGGTCTAATAATAGAGTGGTAAAACACACTAAGCTATGAGGAGCTTAATAACAATCAGAAAAATTAGATTCAGACACAATCAAGGCTTTCAGTAATCTCCCTTCTACTGAAAAATATCCTTTTAAAATGTAAATTTGTCGTTTAAAAAAAAATCTTCGCCTGTAATCCTAGCACTCTGGGAGGCGGGTGGATCGCTCAAGGTCAGGAGTTCAAGACCAGCCTGACTAAGAGTGAGACCCTGTCTCTACTAAAAAATAGAAAGAAATGATCTGGACAACTAAAAATATTATATATCGAAAAAATTAGCCGGGCATGGTGGCGCATGCCTGTAGTCCCAGCTACTCGGGAGGCTGAGGCAGTAAGATCTCCTGAGCCCAGGAGTTTGAGGTTGCTGTGAGCTAGGCTGACGCCACGGCACTCACTCTAGCCCGGGCAACAGAGTGAGACTCTGTCTCAAGAAAAACAACAACAACAAAAAAAATCTTAAACATGTACCCAACCAAGCAGATTAATACAAAACAAAAACCAACCAAATAGAAACAAAAATCTTCTGAAACACAAATTAGGGTTCAAGTTCAATTCCAGATGCAGGAATTAGACTAGGAATCAGAAGGGAAGGATGCTCCCATGAAGACTTACTGTGCCAGATATTTATTTACTCCACAAATGAGTGACTATTATGTGCCAGGCTCAAGAGATAAAGCAGTAAGGAAGCCCCCTACCTACTCAACCTCTACAACAATCCTTTCTTACCATCATGAGCCTCAAAGAGTAAGAGAAAAATGGTCAAGTTGTGAGCCCTGGGATTCAAATTTAAGCTTGTCTAACCCTAAAACCCATGTTCTTACCCCTTCTTCTCCATACCATGCTACCCATGAACAGAACAAAAGTAGGTAACCCTCTCTGAACATAGAGATAATATCATCCCAGTTTATCTTATAAAGTGGCTGCTGGTAAGGATTAAGTGAGATAATGTTCAAAATACTTTGAAAACTATTAAGTACTACTTGAAAAAGTCAAGTAACTTGCTCAAGACCACCTGGTTGGTAAATAGAAGAGGCAGCACTCCAACTGTCCTGACTCCAAAGTTTGTATTAATAGTAGCACACCTAGGCTACTACTACTAAGAAGTATCTACCTCCACTCTCCAGGATTTAACATGCAAACATAGAACAAATATTCAATATACACTTTGAATTGATTTGGTTTAATTTAACTAATGAAAACCTGAAGATTTAAGAGTTTTTCTTTGGTTCTATCTCCATTACCCTTAAAATCAAGAACTGATAATCAACACATACTCAGGAATCACTGGGGCTTTAGGGTTTTCAGTGATCACATGCTTTTGCCAGGTATACAGAAATTTAGATCTATTTCATATTTAAATCCAAATCTCATGTTATTTAATAGCATTTCAGACCCTCACAGGATATTACATATAGTTTGACACAATTTAAATTTGAAGCAAAAAGTGTAAAATCATGTAACTCATGATGGTTATTAGCCACACATCTTTTACAACATCCACAATTTTATATAGCTGGATACATTATCTTGAGTCCTTTTTTTTTTCTTTTTCTTTTTTTTTTAAGATACAGGGTCTTGCTCTATCATCCAGGCTAGAGTATAGTGGTGTGATCACAGCTCACTTCAGCGTTGAACTCCTGGCCTCAAGGGATCCTCCCCTGCTCAGCCTCCTGAGTAGCTGGGATTATAGCACACGCCGAGCTAATTTTTGTTTTTTTAGAGATGGGTGTCTCGCCATGTTGCCCAGGCTGGTCTCAAACTCCTGGCCTCAAGCGATCCTTCCATCTCAGCCTCCCAAGTCGCTAGGATTACAGGCTTGAGCCACGGTGCTCATTATTTTGAGTCTTATTGGAGTTTTCTGACACACACTATAAATGATTCCTTAAACAAGCTTCTACTGCATTCCAAGGAAGCAATAAGAAAAATAAAGCTACTAGCATGTCATATTTAAGCAAATTGATACTTCCATTGATATAAGCATTTAATGAAAGTGTAATATTAAAAGGAATACACTGTGAGGCACACACAAATATTTTCAATGAAAGTACAAACTACAAAAGCTTGAAACTATATAGTCTGATTGCTATTGCCAAATATTTCAAAACACATGATGCTGAAATTTAAATTTATAGATAAATGCTATATGATTATAATTTCTGATAAAGGCCAAATTTATTCAGTTATTAAAATTGAATTAAGCAACACATTATTCAAGGCAATAGACATTACTTGAGCAATTATTTATAAATAATTTAAAATATTTCATTTTTATCTCAATTAAATGGATGCATAAGAATGTAAATTTACAGAAATGGGAAGCTATTTGCAATCTTCCCTGCCCTCCCATTTTATGCTTAAATTAATGTTTAACTCTATTAGCATAAATTTAAGAGTTACTTTCAGCTTCAGATACATGCTGAGAGAAGGTACAAGTAAAAATATAAAAATAAATATGCAAAGTTACAAGGCAAAAACGTCCTTATTCTCTTGCAACTAGACATGTATGGTATAATTTTCAGATTCTAATTAAAGTCATTTTACTTTGAAAATTTGTAAGAGAATACAGAAGTAGCAATTACAAGTTTTTCACTCAAAAAAACATTCCACGCAGTGGTGAACTATTCAAGCCAATTTTGTTTTCTCAACTATTATTTTATAATAAATCTAGATGACTTACTATTACTGAACATTTAACTGAGCCCCCAGCTCGAAAGCATCAGCAAATTTTCTAAGAAAGTATGTATTTCAACCCTCATTGAATATCTGTAGTATCAACAGATACCTTTTTAAAATTTCTTTTTTTGTTGTTTTTTGGGGTTTCTCCCCAAAACTCATGTTGAAAAAAATTTCTACTGCAGAAACAAACTGTTGCTTTTCTTTACCTCTCTTTAAAAATACTAAATAAAAGACTTCTTATGAACATTGTATTAGATATTTAAATATATGTTTTAACAGCATTGAACATTTTAATATTTATTAAAATCTTACATCTAAATATATATAAGCATCCCCCACTTACAGAGTCAAGACTGACAGCCCAGAATAAACTTAAGCCTTAGGTTTCTGTGTGTATGTATGTGTGTGCGTCTTTATCTTTCCTAGATAAATCTAAGAGGGGGAAAGGGGGTAGAATGAAAAGGAAAGAATCACTTTCTCTTTTGTTTTTCTTCCCTTGTGACTAACAATAATAAGAACCCTTAAGAAAGAAAGCTGTGTGCTAGCTGTTGAGACAGGAAAGCAGAGAAAAAAACTTTGAGACTGTTTTCAGTTCCACAAAAGTGATGGGGAGGAGCAAGAGAAATAAGCACAAAAGAAAAGATGAGCAGAATAAACAAGCATCCCTAAAAAGGTGTACTCTAGCTCAATTCCCAATGCTCCTCAAGGCAGCACTCCTCAACTCTGATCTTTTCACTCTGTATCCAGAATCCTAATGATCCTGGGCAAAGCAGTACTCTAACAAAGCCTGCTTGCCTCCCTCTCAATAATAACAGCTAACTAAGCACCCGGCACAGTACCAAATGGATTATCTTTTTTCATCCTCATAGCAACCTGAGGGCTGAGGCTACACAAGGTTAAGTAATTTATACCAGGTCACAAGCCTGGTAAGTGGTGGAATCTGACCAGAAACCCAGAATCTCTATTCTCTTAACCATTATATTATATGGCCTCCTCTCTTGCAGATTACAAAATCTCACTAATATTTATCGGTGCAAAATGAGTCCAATGTGGAGGGAACTACTCAAAGTCAACATATATGAGCAATGAGTATTAATTCATATATATAAAACTGAAGCAAAAAGAGCTCAAGTGCTTTGCTCTAATAGGCGTTATCTTAAGCATCAAGTATCATAATAAGGTAAAATGCTTTTTTAAAACTTTGGGGACCTGAGAACTCTATAACTTTACTACTCGAAAGTGTGGTCCACCAAAGGGCAGCATCTACACTGGGAAGTTGTTAAAATGCAGAATCTCGGGTCCCACCTCACACCTATTAAAGTCACATTTTAACAAGATTTCCAGGGAATTCATATGCATGTTAAATTTAAAAAGCACTGCTCCAAAACAGTGAACTACACTTTGAATAGCAAAGGTCTAGAAAATAGCCTTCGTGATTCTCAAAAAATAAATACCAGACATCCCTTGGAAATCATTGATCTAGAAATGTAGGACTTTTAAATCAACAACACTGTTTTCTGCTGAATTTGTAATTCTCAAAGTTTTCCAGCCACCAGCAACTCCAATGTTCCATGGCACTCTTCCAAAATATAAAAAAGCAACTGCACTTGCTTCTACTGCCACAATGGCAGAATCTCTCAGAGAGGAATTTAAAGGTAGAAGACTATCAAAAACTATATACCAGCTGGGGAAGGTGGCTCACGCCTGTAATCCCAGCTCTCTGGGAGGCCGAGGCGGGCCAAGTGTTTGAGCTCAGGAGTTCGAAACCAGCCTGAGCAAGAGTGAGACCCCGTCTCTACCAAAAATAGAAAGAAATTAATTGGACAACTAAAAATATATAGAAAAAATTAGCCGGGCATGGTGGTATGCCTGTAGTCCCAGCTACTCGGGAGGCTGAGGCAGGAGGATCGCTTGAGCCCAGGAGTTTGAGGTTGCTGTGAGCTAGGATGACGCCACGGCACTCTAGCCCAGGCAACAGAGTGAGACTCTGTCTCAAAAAAAAAACTATATACCTGTTGTTACTAATCTTGAACAGGCCAGTGCAGAAAGAACTTGCTGGAAAATTTCATAAAAATTATGTATCTCATACAGATGAGAAATCAGAGCTACAAATATTTGAGAACAGAAAAGTAGATGGGAATCATAATCAGTGTCAACTTCACTTTAAGATGATGAAGATCATACCAGCTAATACTACCTTAAAAGGAATGTCTAAAATTTTTAGACAAAATATTAACAAGTTACATAGACTGAATTTTTTCTTTCAGAGATCATGTATCAGAAAAAGTAGAGTCAAGGTAGGCTAATTATTTTTTAAAACAATAAAAGGCTGAAATCAAGCAACCTGATGCTTTTGATTTTCTGAGAACTATGTGTTAATTAAATGTATTTATACAGATTTATAACGAAGCATAGTTAGCAAATAGATTAAGATTCCTTCCTAATCTTAAGGCTTGCAGAAACTTGACAACATTTATTATGTGTAATGACTTTAAATTTCTTAAATAATCATCTCAATTAAGAACAAATTGGCCAATCTGTGAATACTATAACTGCATCAAATCACTGGCATTACAATACCATTAAAAGTTCTTAGTAGGAGCCAGAAATCAAAATAGAAAATCATTTTGTTTTCTGTCTGTCATAGTCTCAAAACTTTTCAAAATACTTATGTAGATTAGGTATCTCTATCCCATTATACAGTTATTCTGTACTATAAATTCTAAATACAATTTTATTTTGAAAGAAAATATCCTCATGAATAATATTGTACAGAAAAATGTGACACAAACCTTTTAGGATATTGAACATCTTTATCAACCAGGAATGTACTGCTTTATTTAGACTGCTCCAATAACTTTTTAGAAAATATGATTTAAAAGTATTAATAAACTCCAAGTAACAATTCAAAGTAAGTAAACACTTAAAGGTAAAAATTTTAAATGCATACAGTGATTACTTTAAAAATGTCTTAAAACCTATTCTAAGATTCCCCCCTCTTCTTTGCTATTAGAGGAAGTAAGTTACTTACCCCTCCAAACCTTGTTGAAATTCCATCCATCTCCTCAATCTAAGCAACTTAATAGAATTAACTGGATCAAACCTCAAGAACTTTAGAGTCTCTCTTACCTTATATAAATAGAGGCTTAGGAATCATGAAGACCTGAGTTGGAATCCACATAAGAGTTCAAATCCATATACAGGTACCAGCTGAGTAACCCTGGGCAAACTATTTAATCCCTCTGTTCCTTCTGTTGCTGTTAAATGACAGCTCTCATATCACAATAGGGGTGTGGGGGGGGGGGTAGGGGTCGGTAATAAAGACTATATGAGAACCACAGAAAGTATCCAGAATGGTCTTAATAAGAACTAACTCATGAAAAATAGTTATAAATAAATAAATAAAAAACTCTCCAAATCTCTACCAGATATGTAAACATCGCACAAATTATTTTCATCTTTCCTAAAAAACAAATTAGTGATCTGAAAGGAAATAACATCTGAGAAAGTTATTTAAACCAGAGATTACAGTAGCTTTGGCTTACATTTCTTATAAAATTATCTAAAACACTATCATTTAGTAATTCTGTTTCATTTTAATTTCTTTTAAAGTTAGCACCTTCAATTCAATTAGTTTCTTAATGGAAAAATAAATTCATTCTTAGAGGGACTACACTTACTACTTTTTAAATTCTTGAATGTTTACTTCTGAGGGCATTAAAAGCCATCCAATGGTAAATGTTTTACCTCTGCAACAAAAGGGAAAACAATTTGACTATTATACAGATTTTTGCTATGGCTGAAATTCAACTATCATACAAAGAGTTAACTGAACCCAAATCAGGGGAGGTAAAGATATTGTGGCAATTAAATATAACAAATGATTACAAATATTTTACTACTGGAAATGCATACAGTTAATATGAACTTAGTAATAAAGTACATCTCTCTTCACAAAAAATTTATATTCTATCCTTTAGTTCAAGTGAAATGGAGTATTTAAACTTGAGGATAAAAGTTGACAGGTATGTATTAGACTTATAAATCCAAAAAAACTTTTCAAGTTGGCACACACTTTAAATGAATCATTTGATTTTTCTTCATGGTTTGATTAGAAGTTTTGTGAACTTTATTTCTCTCCAACGTTGTGTGCTTATTGGTTAAACAAAGTTAATGTGTATAAACCCAGTCCTGCAGGATTTGTACTTACCAGAGAAAGTGCCAAGTGCTGTAAATACCTTTTACATTTCAGCATTTATGTTTTTAAAATTATTACTGACATTTAAGTCTTTATCATCACCAAAAAATCTTTATATTTAAGAGTGTAGTTCAAAAGGTCATGTTGTTTTGGCTCACTTTGAAGGTATCATACTCCTTTCAGAAAAGAATTTTTGATATTTACAACATAATTAAGAGATTTCTAGAATAGATAACCTAAACCTTCCTGACAATTAAAAATTACGCACATACCAAAAAGGAAGCATAATCCTATTATAAGGACTAAGGACAAATATACTTTTTAAAAAACTAATTTACTTCTAATATAAAGAGTTTCTTTAAGTCTACAAATGACTTTGAGTGTCTGCACTTCTTTTTCCAAAAGTACATGAAGGACATTTTTATTTTGAGTAAAATACTAGCGTTCTTGATTTTCCACAATAAAAAGATTAGTACTTGGGGAAGGGGGAGCAGGTGGAGAGAAGGAGTGTGTGAAATTATACCTGACTAAAAAGAAGTTTTATTTATGGTAGGTTTTTTGGTTTGGTCTATTTTGGCTTTCGGTTGTGTGTGTGTCTGTGGGTGCGCGCGCCAAAGAGAGAGAGAGAAAAGTGGTAATGAGTAAAATGACAGTTTATGACGCCTATAAAATCTGTCTTGGTTCAAATTCAAATTCACAAACTCCGAAAAAGTCTACGGATTTGCCTAGAGTTACAGAGAATAAAAATTAAGGCAGCACCGCGCATCCCTAAACCTTCTAAAATGTATGGTGAACTTAACCTTTACTCGCTGTTGTACTTAAGGAGTAGGCATACTGGTTCTTAGAGAAGAAAACACAAAAACCACAATTCTTCATTGTCTTAAAAAAAAAAAAAAGGCAAAACAAGTAAATGCATTCTACTAAGTAACCTTGAAATCGCTTTAAGCTGCCACTCTACATGACACTTACTTTGACACACGTAACGTACCTGTCTGTGAAAGCATATCTTTTATTCTTGGCTCTTAAGTCAGAAACACAGTTGGTAAACACTAAGGCTCGCGGTATTAGCATTTCGATTGCATAGTATCATACCTGTGAGCGTAATTCTTTGGTCTGGAGGCACTGAGAGGACTTGGTTTTCATGCACTTTCAAAGCGCCCAGATTTGCGGAGGAAGCCTGTGCTCCCGTGAGTTTGGGGGGCGTCCCACGGGCGCGACCCTTCATTCCCAGGGACAGCAGGCGCCCTTTGTACATCCACTTCTGCAACTTCTTGACTGTCACCGCCGGCGGTTTGAGGAAGGGGGACCCCTCCTGGCGGTCTCCTTTGCCGCTGCGTAACACAGAGGACCCAGCTAGATCCCTGAAAGGGGTTCCTGAGGAGCGGCCGGGGTCCTTGCAGCCCAGAGGCAGGAGGTCGGCGGGCGCCACAGTCCGGGCACTGCCCCCGCGCCAGCCGTCCATCCTGCCTCCACGTGGCGGGGGCTTGTCCCAGTCCTCGCGCGCGCCGCACCTGATCCAGCTGTCGCTCGGCCACCGCTGGAAGGGAGGCGGCTTGGCATACACCCGGAGGCTCTCGAGGCTTCTGCTGCAGGGCAGCCGCATCCGAGGAGTCTGCAGCCGGCCTCCCCCCGACTCCCTCGGAGGCGACCGGGGCGGGGACACCTGCTGCCCAGGGCGGTCGCCGCCTCCCCGCTCCCAGTCTCGGGGGCAGGCTCGGCAGCCCTCAACGCCGCTGGGGGAAGGCGGCTGGCCCGGAGCCCGGGCTCCCGTAGGGCAGCAGTGATCCGCCAAGCCCCCGCCACCCAGCCGCGCGCCAGAGTCAGGGGGCAGGTCGTGCATGGCCTGGATCAGCAGATAATAGGCCTCTCGCAACTGGGTCTGCAGCCTGCCCGTCTCCAGGCGGCCGCCCTCCGCCCCCGGGGAGGAGCCCGCCGCCGGGAGAGGCGGGGGCCGCCGCTCCGCCTCCGCCCCCTCAGGCTCGGGCGCGGGCGGAGAGCCGCCCGGCAGGTTCTCGTAGTAGTCGGCGTCGTAGTCCCCGGCGTTCTCCTCCTCCTCTCCGCTGCGCCGGGAGCCCGGCGGGGCGTGCAGAGAGGCGCAAACGAATCCGTGGCCCCAGGGGACGGCCTTCTGCCCGCTGCGCGGCCGAGGCCCGAGCGCCCCCGACTGCCCCGGGCGCCCTCCGGGGACACGCATCTCGGGGCTCCACACCTCAGGTGACGGCCGGGGCTGCGTCAGCCTCGGCTGGGCTTCCCTGCCGTGCTCGCGTCGGGGGGAGTCCGCACCACCCCAGGCGTCTCCCTCAGCCACCGAAGAAGTCGCCACCGTAGCTGCAGCGGCCGTCCGGAGCCCCAGCCCCCCGGCGCCGCGGGAACCCCGCCTTCCCCGGAGCCTAGACAGCGTCCTCCTCAGAGGGTCCGCCATCCCCTCTGCCTCAACAACTCGGCTCGCCCCCGCCGTGGGGAGAGGTCGGCCCCTGGTTGCAGAGAAAGCTGCGCAGGCGGAGGAGGCGGCGGCGGCGGCGGCGGCTCCCCATGACCGGCGCTGGCCCTCGCCGGCTCCTCACATACTTGGCATAACTCTGCCGCGGGAAGGCGTGGGGGAGGGCGGTGGCGCCGCAGCGCGCATGCCCCGGAGCCCCGCGCCACGACGGGGCTCGCGGGCCGCCGCCTGCAGAGCTGCGTTCCCAGGGTGGGCGGGCGGCGCAGGTAGAGGCGGAGGGCGTGTGAAGGGAGATGGAATAAAGCCGGATTCATCGCGAGGGGTGCGGTGAGAGTTGAGGCAGGGGGATAAAAAAAGAACGAGCGGGAAAGTTAAGTCTGGGCTAACGGCTGCGAAATTTTGGTTAAGGAGCCGGAGAAAGGGAAAGTGCCCTCCAGGCTGTCAACCCAGCACCTTCACTCTCTTCCTCGTTGCCACCGCTGCTCGAGGCATGTCTTAGATACAGCAAGTCCTAGCTTGAGAGAAAGCAAAGATTGTTTTGACGGACGAAGTATGAGTACAGGTGTATCTCAGTGCCATGTGTTATAGAAATGTTTCTGTCATTTTAATTGCACGGAGAGCTAGCTGTGTAAGGAGATTTGCAGCAATTCCTCTTCAATAAGGAAGAATCCTTTTATCCAAAAAATCCCCCCCCGTGCCTCTCTTTTAAGTCTATTTTTCCTTCTTTTTTTTTCAATTAATGGGTACTAACACAATTAATTCTTACATCAACCAAAATTTGTAAAAGGGGGCCATGAATATCATAGTGTCCCTCATTACCTGGCCTACAAGACTACCATATAAAAATATACGCTTGCAGGTTTTGAATATAAAAAAGTTAACAAACTTCATATTAATTTAAGCAATGGGTTGAAAAGCATCTGGATTGAAGCTGAGAAACAATGTAATCTGGAAATACCAACTCTCTCCCCAAAACATTAAATCCTGTGTTCTAGGTAGCAGTTGTAAACTGAAGTACCTCTTGTTGCCACAAATTAATTGACCAATTCAGTGATTGATAAGAATCAGTTTTGCCATTATCCCTGATTTCAAAGTTACATGTTTTAGTGTTTACATATTAGAAAGGGCCTTTGAGTTATGCATAAATGTGCTAACACCTAGCACAATACGTGCATATAGTAGGTACTCAAGTACTCAGGAAATATTTATTGGATAAATAAGTGCTTGCATTACTGAATAAAAGAAAATAATTTAACTTCCCTTATTTCCAACTATAGTATATTTTCCTGTGTCAGTTGTTTTGTTGTTGTTGTTTGCACCAAAGGCTCCAGTCTCTAAATGTGCTTTGATCCATGCTGCCTTTTATTAGTACCTAGTCTCTCCTGGAATAATTAATGGTACCTGCATTGTATTTGCAGAAATCTTACCCATTCTTTAAAACTCTTCTCAGCTGCCTTCTCTATGAAATCACTTCTGATCTCCCAGATGGACATGATCTCAAATTCTTTTAAACTCCAATAATACTTTATTCCTACCCATTCATAGTATATTTATTGTTTTATACAATAAATTTGTATACATGCCCTATCCCACTTACAAGAAAATTCACAAACTCCCTAAGGGCAGAGACTATTAATATAATTGACCTATGTATTCTCCACATAGTATAAGTATAGTATCTTATATACTGTACATGATAAATATTTCTGAATTAATATCAATTGTAATTTAGAGGAAAAAATGGCTTTAATTTCCAGTCTATTATCTAACTTTCCACTAGACCACAGTATGTTGGTGTTGTTTTAAAATTCTTTCAGTGATGAATAAGATACATAGTTTGTTAAATAATCTTAATTCTTATCTAGGAAAATACTATGAAATGTTATGCTAATTTACATATATGAATATTTATAGTTCTAAAATATTTCATTCCATGGACCCAAGGCTATTTAATGAATAGTCAAAGCATAAAATTATTCCCAGTGAAATATTCCCACAGGAAATGACTGATAGCAAAGCTGCCAATAATGGTTCTATAAACACAATTTGATCTCTATCTCAGAAATTGTTTCCATTCCAACTCTCTGTTGCAAAATCATTTTACTCTTTATAGTTAACATAGTTGCTAAGAACACCATAAGTTTTATATATATATATATGTACATCTATATGTGAATAGAAAAATATGACCTTGAAGGTCTAGGTTGAATTTCATCTTAATTCAACTTGTCAACTTGTTCAGGATTTATAAAACACATTAAGTTTTATATATATATATATGTACATCTATATGTGAATAGAAAAATATGACCTTGAAGGTCTAGGTTGAATTTCATCTTACTTCAACTTGTCAACTTGTTCAGGATTTATAAAACACATTGACCAATATACAATACTGTGCATTGTTCTGGGCATTATTCAGAACTAAGTCTGATGCAGCACACCACAACTGAACCTAATGCTGCTCTAAAGTTGAGAATGTTCTATCACCTGAATTTCACAATTTTAATCATGTTTTGGCTCACAACAGAAATTAATAAGGCAGTCATGGCCATATGACACTACTTAAAGGCCTTAAAAATGTAAATCCCACTTCTCAGTATGTGCAGTACACATCAAGAAAACTGATGTGTACTGAAATTCTAAGGAGACAGTGCCCGTGGAACTTATATTACACATGATATAACTAAGACAACGACAAGACATGAACATAAGCTATAATTTGTAAAATCTTTTAAAATAATTTATACCCCGTTCCTTTGCTTATCTCAATTTCCGTATCTTTTTAATTCACAGATTCACATGAAAATTAGGGGGTGGGAATACATTTTTCAGTGTTTGTACTTGTTTCTCAGTGACTTGGAAATCATTCTGATGCCCCATGAATTAACAACTATGTGTGTTGGCACTGTCACAAAAGATATAACAACTGTGGGATAATAGAGCTCCAGTAAAGCAGGGAGCCAAACCAGGGCTGGGGTAGTACTGACTCAGTCTGGGAGGAGGAAAAAAGCAGGCAGTTTAAGGCAGAGGGCTGTGTCTAACAGTAACAGAAGGGAAGTGTCTGGGTGTGTTATGGTTAGTTTCTAGTCAATGTGGAGTGCATTTCTGTCTCACTGGTGCTCACTTGTCCACTATGCGTAGTCTTAGTGGAACCAAAGGCAAATTTAGCAATGGCATTTGCCCGGTTCTCTCCCTAAACTGCCTCACAGGGATCCTCTGGTGGAGACCTACCTGGTCTGCCGTGTAGCTCCATCAGTATTAAGTAAAAAGTACTTCAGCCGAAAGCTGACCACACTACCACTGCCCTGAGAATCAAAGATGGCATGTTCTCAATATAGCATATTTTTACTGTTTCATAATTAACAACACAGGGCAATTTGCAACATTCCTTACCTCATCCCCTCCCAACCAAAGTAATAAGAAAAAGACTTGCTAAAAATAAAAGCACGTGTATTTTCTAATGTCTTAGAAATGTACAATGTCTTAGAATATTCACTGATATTTCAGATTTTCTTAATGCATATTTGGGATATATAGAGTAACTTGCTCAAGCTCACTGTAATAAGTGAAGGGGAATTCAAATCCCTGTCTAATTCCAAAGATAGTACACACCTGTGGCATTTCCTTGACTAGAAAAAGAGACTAGACACTTGATATAATAGTCCTTGCACTGACTTGAACCTTCATTTTTATAAATTATTTAGTTGGTCACCTTTCAGAAAAGAGTTTAATATTTTATGAGCTTTTGTGAAATGCAGTGGATCATCGGGAAACTGTTTGTTGAACATTTGTATGCTCAGTGTAGTCTGCTTCGAGACTGTTAGAACTAAATCCTATATTCCTGTTTAACTATAAATCTATTCATATTAAACCTCAATGCAAAACTGCATCCTGAAAAGGTTGTCTGATTTTAATAGTAGGACAAGCTACAATTAAATGCTTTAAAGGCAAAATACATGCGTTCCCCTTACAACCACAGGAGATAAGCCCCATTTCAAAAGTGAATAGGTGGTAAGTAAGGGAGAAGTTTAGCCTGTCTTTTCTAAATGATGTGGACCTCAGGCTAACCAAGCAGTTGACCAAGGGAAGTTGCTCTGTTTCAAAGTTGTCAATCTAATAAATGAAGATAAATTGATAGAATGTCACCATTTTGCACCCTAATGACCTAATGGTTCTAATAATGGATCTAGGTAAAAATCACCAATGGCTACTAACCTCACAGAGAGAGAGAGACAACCCGACATGTGACCTAGTACAAGTACACACCACCACTTAGGTTTTTATCAATTTTAATGTTCTTGCCAAAAATGAAACCAGTGTCTGAGCAACCGCAAAATCTGATTACCAATTTTCAGGAATTACGGAGAACAAAGGAGCATGTTAAATAACACCATGGG